AAAAAAAAAAGTCTATGAATCTTTTGCATTGCCCAGAATTAATGCATACTATAGGTAATGTTCTTACTGAGCCTTTAGCCCATTATCAGTCCACTCCATCTTCGAGTTTTGAGTTTTCTAGTCCTGCACATGAGTGTAGCCTTAATCTTAAACTAAGGATTCAAGTCATTCCATTGTTGCTTGTAAGGGGATGAGGTCATGCACCCAATATTCATTGCCTCATTATGTCATATGAAAATCTCTTACGCATTTTTTGGGCTTTTATCACACATATGCGTTGTATTGAGATTTCTAATCTTGTGCAGGATACTCTAAAAATTCCCCAATGGAAGTAGATTGTCTTCGAGAAAATGAAAGCTCTGCATGTGGGAATTTATCGATCTACCTAGAAATAAAAAATGTCAAATGCAAATGAATGTCTAAATTCAAGTATAATTTTGATGGCTCTCTAGAACAATATAAGGCTCTACTAGTTGCCAAGAGATTCACTCAACCTATCTCATTAACTACATAGATACAGTCGACCCAGTCGTAAAACTAAGCTCTATAAGAGTTCTTCTGTCACTTTCAGCTAATCTTGATTGGACCCTACAAAAGTTGAATATAAAAAATGCATTCTCGAAAGGGACTTTGAGGGAGATGTGTACATAGATGCATCTCTAGGATTTAGTGAGAAATTCAACAAAGAAGTGTGTAAAATAAAAAAAATTATGATATATGTTGAAGCAGTCACGTAGAACATGATTTGAGAAATTTACACTGTTTGTTAAAGGTCGGGAGTATACTCAAGGCCCAGAAGATTAAACATTGTTCTTCAAACATTCAAAAAACGAGAAAATAGTCATACTGATTGTGTATGTGAATGATAAAATTCTCATCATAGATGACGTATATGAAATAAACAGGTTGAAGACTTCCCTCTGATCATTTTTTGAGACCAATGAATTAAGTTTGAGGTATTTCCCGAACATAGAGGTTGCTAAATTGAAAAAAAGGGATTATTTTTTCCCAACGAAAGTATATTCTTGATATTCTAGAGGAAACTTGGATGAGTGATTGCACTTGTAGATGGCAGTCCTCTATTGACCATAATCTAGTCATAATGCGTGCATCTTAAATCCAAATATCATAAAGCCCAAGAAATTCCATTTGAGATCCAATCTGTAGTGAAGAGTATGCATTTGTCTCTCTTGGTAGATCATAATCATAAGAACCTATATGACTGTTGAACCTTCAAAAACTTGCTGTGAATGGGATTGATGGGTGTGAAATAAAGGGGACTCGAAGAGGAAGCAGACACGAAATTCCTTTTTAACATCAAACCACTTAGTGGCAAAATCCAAACAAATCTCCTGTATCATGGCCTAGGAAACAATTCTAGGCCCCAGTATGAGATAAAAATCACTAGAACAAGAATAATTCATTTCCCAACAACATTGTTTATTGAATTGGTAGCCACATCTCAAAACCAATCAATCTGCAAAGATTGGTAGGCTGTGATCATCAAACCCTCTGTGATATCTAAAAAATGAGCATGTATCCCGTATTTCCTCCAATTTTGACCCAAAAGAGAATATGCACTGGTGTCAGACATTATTAAGAAGTGATGTTCAAAGTCAATCGAGGATTGGAGAAATCAATCCATATTATGACCATTAAAACTTCTATAAATATCTCATGTAACAGGTAACTTAGATCTCCTTGTGAACTTTAGCCTATTTTGAGAGGATTGTGAATGAGATCCCTCTCCAAGAGCCCAATGCAGCTTTGTACCCTTTGAGCTAAGTACACCAAATAAGAAAGTAAGTGTTTCTTGCTCGCTCACTCATTGTTGGCATTATATCCTATTTCCCTTACCCTCAAGCTACGCTTTAGGCCAAGCAGATCAAAGTACTTCGTCTATGAGATTGGCCCTTTTGATGCCAATATATCCTACAATTACTTGGTTACAAAAAGTTACATGCACCATATAAATAAGATATTATAACCATAAGAAAGCCCTTTTACTGGAAGAGCGTCAAGTCACATGTGTCACTTGCTGCAATGCCTATATTAAATTGAACTTTCTAAAACAAACCATAATAATGTAAGAGAATAATTACTTCTCCCATCGTTGATTGACTGTGTCAACTTGCTGCTGCAAATTCTCTGTTGTCCAGATCAAGTGCAAAAGATCATAATCAAAGTCGCTGACCGCAATACTGGATGTTGAAGCAAGGGAAAGCTTTACACCCTGAATACAGCAACTCAACTAAGTATAGTCCTGGAAAAGGCTAACGTGAATCCCAAAATAATTTATTATCTGAAATATAACAAAAAATAGAATTAAAAGGATAAATTGAAATACCTCAATGACCTCCTTCCTTACTGACAAATAGCATGCTTGTCTGCTTTCACAGAGGTAAGACAAAAGGGCATAAGTTTCATCGGGGTCCTTGCAAAGATTCTGAAAGCTTTTCATAGTAATAACGCATGTAGATGTCCAGTTGCTCGCTCCCAAGGTTTTAATAACATTAGCAGCTTTTTCCTGAAAATTTGAAGAACATCTCATAGTGTATTCAAGCTCATTTTGAGTATTGCAAATTAATGTATATTAATGTAGAAATGATGATACCTGCAGTAGTATCCTAAGAATAAGAGTATTATCACCATGACCTTCCAGGGAACTTGATCGAAAAGTACCTAAAATCTGTCCTGCAAGCTTGAGCAACCGAAAAAGACGTCCACTGGTAGGATTAGTTAGTTCCTCTCTTAATAGGATGTCCCCATTAGCATGCATTTCATGCTGGCAAAAAGAGTTTGAATAAAGTTCCGTTTAAAATTATCAAGTTACAACTCACAGAACTTAATTCATACAGCAAGTAAACAATTTTCGTAATGCAAAACTCATAGGATCTCCACTCGAAAATATATAAAGTTTATATACGCTCTCTATTTTTGTTTTTACAGGGATGGCTAAGCAACAAGATAATATGCACAATATTTTGGCTGCTTCAGCATTATATTGATGAAGACATAAAGGGCAATGCCCCAAGAAGTCAAAAAATAATTAACAACCACAAAAAAGTGCCTCCATTTGTCACTACTAACAAGCAAATCATCAATACCATAAATGATAAAATTTGTCGTGCCTAGGAGTAGTTACAGTCAAGACAATGTTTAAAGTAGTTATTTGGGCTCAAATAAGATAATTTCCAAAGGAAGGTGTACTCAAAGCTTTTACAGCTTATAAAAAGTAGAAGTTATTATTATAACAATGATGTTGTAAGACGATATGTCAATGAACTCAGGGTCCTATTTTAGATACAAAAATGATCTTTAACCGACTAAAGTTTAACCACGAATCAACAAATAAGTTTTCCTCTTTTGTCCCTTTATGACAAAGCCAAGCTCCTTACCGCATTACTATTACTAATATTCTAAGTTGCATCTTGAGTTTCCTTAGCTCAAAGTTTTTCTTCATATTCTCATTTCTCATTTAGCCTTCTCAGTTTTACAGAACTTCAATCTTAACACTATTAACACGAAAAATTATTTGTTGGTTCATAAAGAACAATTAGCCATTTATGAACTTCTAAGTTTTCTCTTTCTGCTTCACGGTACTCTTCCTAGTGAAAAGCTCCGACTTGTCTTAATTTTAACCATCGGTTCTATTTCATACTAAATATGTTCATATTTAAATCCTCCTTATTTTGTGGAAAATCAAAGATACCTAAACTACGTACGCTAATTATAACATCATTCAGATAGATCACCAAATTATTTCCTTTTCCTTTCTCTATTCCAGTAATTAATAAAGTATTTCAAGTATTTTCTCTATTTTCACTCTACAGCTTGTAAGACGATATAATTTTTCGTGCCTAGAAGTAGTTACAGTCACTCAAGACAATGTTTTGAGCAGTTATTTGGACTCAAATAAGATTAATTCCCAGAGGAAGGTATACTCAACGCTTTTACCGCTTATAAAAATTAGAAGTTATTATTATAACAACGATGTTGTAAGACGATATGTCTATGAATTTATGGTCCTATTTTAGATACAAAACGGATCTTTAATCAGCTACAGTTTAACCACGAATCAACAAATAAGTTTTCCCCTTTTGTCCCTTTATGATAAAGCCAAGCTTCTTACCGCATTGCTACTACTAATATTCTAAGTTGCATCTTGATTTTCCTTAGCTCAAATTTTTTCTTAATGTTCTCATTTCTCATTTAGCCTTCTTAGTTTTACAGAACAACAATCATAACACTATTAACACGAAAAATTTTGCTTTTAGTGATCTTTATAATAGATTAGATATTAATGAGGGTGAAAAATATATGTATAACCAACAAAGAGAAAAGAAAAGTAAAAATTTAACTAAAGTGTATTAAACATGAAAACCAAAAAAGTGTTTTTCTTAAAAAATGATATTCAAGATAAGCGGGAAAGTTATTTTGATAAACTTTTTAATGAAGTTTTTGAAAATACGATCGACCTTAGTGATCTTAATATCATTAATAATGATCAAACATTTTATTTTTACTTCCGCATTAGTAAAAAAGATGTTGAGAAGACTTTAAGAAAATCAAGGGTGGAAAGTTTGTAGGACCTGATGATATCCCAATTGAAATGTGGAAATATTTAAGAGATTTGGGAGTGTCTTGCTTACTAAATTATTTAATATTATTTTAAAAACTAAAAAGATACCTGAGGAGTGGAGAAAAAAGTATTTTGGTCCCCATTTTTAAGAATACAGGGGATGCACAAGAGTGTGCAAATATAGAGGAATTAAGTTGATGTGTCATATTTTAAAATTAAATTATGGGAGAGAATAATTGAACATAGGTTAAGATGTATTAAAAAGACTTCTCATAATTAGATTTATGTCGGGTAGGTCTACCATGAAAGCTATACATTTATTGAGAGGTTTGATGGAGAAGTTTAGAGATAATAAGAAGGATCTAAATTTGATTTTTATTGATTTAGAAAAAGCTTACCATAAGGTTCCAAGAGAAATCCTTTGGAGAGTTCTTGAGAAGAAAGGTGTTGACATGACTTATATTCAAGTCAATAAAGATATGTATGCTAGAGCTGTTATTTGTGTTCGAACTGAAGGAGGATTGACCAATTTTTTTGTTATTTCTATTGGATTACATCAGGGATCAACTTTAAGCCCATATCCTTTTGCTTTAGTTATGGATGGTCATACTGGACATTTACAGGAGGATGTACCTTGGTGTATGCTTTTTGTTGGTGATATTCTTCTCATGGATAAGACGAGAGAAAAAACCCAAGAGAAACATGAATTATGGAGGTCTAAATTGGAGTTTAAAGGCCTTCATTACGATAGAACTAAAACTGAATACATGGAATATAATTTTAGTAGTAGTAGCTCTAGTGACAGAAGTGTAACTTTGGGGGATCAAATTATTAAAAGGTGTGAACGATTTAGATATCTCGGGTCAGTTATTCAAAGCGAAGGTGATATAGATGGGGAAGTTAATAGTAGAATTCAAGTTGGTTGGTTGAAGTGGAGGAATGCTTCGGGCCTTTTGTGTGATAGAAAAGTATCGCTTAGACTAAAAGGAAAATTTTATAAGATGGTGGTGAGACCTGCAATGCTCTATGGCGCTAAATGTTGGCCTTTAAAAGAGAAGCATAATACTAATTTAAGTGTTACCGAGATGAGAATGATTAGATGGATGAGATGCTTTAACTTAGAGACAAAATGAGAAATGAATATATCGTTGATAAGGTTGGTGTAGCTCCAGTGACGGACAAAATTAGAGAGAGTCGTCTTAAATGATTTGGTCACATTAAACATCCACCATCTGATGTCCGATTAGGAGAATAGATGTTTTAGATTTGACTTATGTTAAGAAAGACAGAGGTAGACCGAGGAAGACTTAGGCTTATTGTATAAAAAATGATCTTAATTTATTAGAACTAAATGAAAAATGTGACACTAAATAGGATGCAACAGAGAAAAAGGATCCATGTAGCCGACCCCATGTAGTGGGATGAAGGCTTTGTTGTTGTTGTTGTTGTTCATAAAGCATAGTTGGCAACTTCCAAGTTTTCTCTTTCTGCTTCACGGTACTCTTCCTAATGAAAAGCTCTGACTTGTCTTAATTTTAACCATCAGTTCTATTTCGTACTAATTATATTCATATTTAAATCCTCCTTATTTCATAGAAAATCAAAGATACCTAAACTACATATGCTAATTATAACATCATTTAGATCACCAAATTATTTCCTAGATCACCAAATTATTTCCTTTTCCTTTCTCTATTCCAGTAATTAATAAAGTATTTCAAGTAGTTTCCCTATTTTCACTCTACAGCTTGTAAGATGTTTATCTTTTGTTGTAAGATGCATTTAATCCAAGTAGTATTTAATCCAATTAGCCTTGATAAATTGCACCTCTTCAGCATTCTACCGAGAAAATTTAGCTTAAAAATAATATGCCAAAATAATAAAAAAATATGATTGTACATTATAATTGATTAAGCATCAACAACTTACTACAACTTGGTCCATGCACAATGGTGTCAGTGCTCCTCGAGAAAACCACGTATTTTTCAACTGGAAAATAAAGATATCAGTGAGAATGAGTCAAATAAAATTAAAATTTTATCTAATCAAAATATTTTCAATATATGCAGCATTGTTTAGCAGAGGGAATATACGTCAAGAGCAACAGCAACATATCTTATAAGAAAAGTAGGTGTTTTTGTTGTAGTAGGGGAAATGGGAAAAACACACATCTGTGAATCTGCATTCATTTAGAAGTTGTTCAAATCCTTCCAAAAAAGTGCAAATCAGTTGTTCAAATCCTTCCAAAAAAGAATATTCCTATATCATCTTTGAAGTTTCTTTTCATCAATAAAGGAAGAAATTTGGAATATTAGATTCTGTACCAGAGATCATCATGACCTAAACTTAAAAACACAACTAGAACTTGTAAAAAATATCAAAAATTGAGGTTGGTGCTAGGTTGAAAGCCAAGGATAAAAACAATGCAAGTTAAGGGAACAACAGGATCACTTAAAGCCAATTTAAACATGATAAAAATGATGATTTTAAAATAAATGTGTGGTAAATTTTGAAAAAGCAAAGAATTTATTCTATAAAGGAAATGAAAAAGAAAACTTCTCGTGTATTAAAATAAGAATAACAGATTTAATAAATCTTGTAAATTCAAATTTACTAAATCCTGCCAAGAACAGGGTTTAAGAAATCTGACTTTTAAGGCAAATCTGGCAAGAAAGTTACAAAGAAATTTAGAAGGAACTAAACATACTACTATCTCGATTTGAAATTGCCATTACAATTGAATCCTACTTAAATTCATTACCATACAGAATTAAATCCTACTTAAATTCGTTACCATACAGCCCCTACAAATAGAGTTGGGGATTTGGTTGTGTAAAACAAAAAGCAAAATATGCAAAACTAAGCTAGTTATATTAAAATAAATGTAAACCATATAAGATTGAAGAGGATATACCAAAGAAAAAAAAAAGAAAAAGAAAAAACATGACTATAATCTGTACAAAAGAGTGATGCAATAGGGTTAAGACCTATAATGACAATCTCAACAAGAACAAATGGTATGGGTTCATAAAGGTAACCAAAAATTATTGAGATAAAACTAATGGACAATTTCCTGTTCTGTAGTTCAAACTAGAATCCCATAAGATAAGTAAATGCGCTCAGTTTGCAAAACTAAAACTTATCTACCACAAAAAATCAATCTATAAACGTGCGTATCACTCTTACAGTAGTATCTTTTAAGTTGGTTGAGCGCAAGTAGTTGGAGACACCTTTTTCATCTCCGAGCTATTATAGCTCCATGGCTAGATTCTAAATGCGAATACGAAGAGACCATTTGGATTATTCATAGTAAAGCTTACATCTGTCCAGATTACGGCCAATGATATTAGTTATGCTGAATCATTAGCAGAATTCGAAGCTTTTAACCAATCAACTTTAGGGGGCAGACATCGGAATTGCGAAACAGAAACACATTGTGAATTTCAAAAGAGCGATAATCAAGGAGAGAAAAATAAAATTTGCGGACCTCGGAGACCCGGACAACGCAAACGCCTAGATTGCGAGCGACCTTAAGGATGAGGTCCCTCCAGAAGAGGAAGCGAGGTTCCCAATCCGATCTCTGGCCACTGAAGGCTTTGAAACGCGCAGTAGCCAGTACCTCATCGTCCCAATCTGGTACTTCTTTCTTCACCAATTCGCTCACAGACGAAACCGAGATGACGGACGTTGATGAACTCGTCATCAAAGAACTTGCGTGCCAAGAGGATTTACCGGAAAGGACAGAGCACTGTGTTCTTACTTTATCATATCTAAATTTTAATTTTTACATGATAAACACATTTTTCTTTTCATATATAGATTAAAATGTTAATCATCTAAAAATCAAATTTTAGATATAAGATAACTAAGTGTCTCTTTGGGGGCAGTTGCAGGTTATTGAATAATCTGCTGATAAGCTGATTAAAAATAATCTATTGATAAGCTAGGCATGGTGGTTGTTATTACAAATTTTTATTTTTTTGGAAAAATCAGACCGCTGTCAGAAAGTTGTCACCGCACCTAGACAGGTGCGGTTCTAGGTGCAGTGTGAAAATGCATAAGTTGTCAAATTGCAGTTTACCAAGCCGGCCAAGTGCGTTTTCAAAACGCCACCGCACCAAATAAGCTGCCTCAAATGGACCATAAATATATAAGAATTGGGAGTTTTGTATGTAAAAATTCCTAAAAAAACTATAACATGTGACTTTCATTGAATCAAAAGGGAAATTTCTCTCTATAATTCTCTAAAAAAAAAAAGAATTTATATGTCAAAATTTATTTAATTTTGTCTTTTGTTTCTTTCTTAAGAAAATATGTGTTTAATTTAATATTAAATTGAACAATTCCTTGTGAAATTCTTGAAGCATGAGGAATTATGTGAACTTTTGATCATTAAGCTCTTGTACTATTGTTCCAAACATCCTCATCATCTCTTGCGATTGCAAAGCATTTATGTTAGATTTGCAATAAAGTTTACATTGATGGTCATTCCTTCATTATATGATCTTAGTCAGTAATGTTATACATTTAGTTATTTTTGTTTAAAAAGGTTAATTGTATTTTACATTATTATCCTAGAATGTTGTTAGACATCTAATACTTGCCACAAACGTGTCAGAACCATCATCAAACAGAGAGAGAGGTATTTTCATATTATTTTTAATCATCTTTGAGTTATGACTGAATCATATTCCAACCACGATAAAAAACTTACAATATTTTCAAACATTGTACAAACCTTACAACAAATTTCGAACTATCTTCAAATATGATTTGTGTAATGCTTAATCATGGTTCAAAGATGATTTGACCATTATTTAAAAGTGGTCTTTCATAGTTTGTATATGGTTCGAATATAGTTTTATAATAGTTCATTTTATTTTGCTCATCATCTATTTTAAAGCTTATTTATTTAAATTATTTTGTTATACATATGAATATATATTATAATCATATAATTAAAGTGTCATTGCAATGCTCAAGTCAAAATTTGAGGTGTGTTTAAGAATGTTGTTAGAAAATTTAAGATTAAAAATCACATTATTATGGCTAAGAGGTCCCACTTTAGTCAATTCTTTAAAGGGGACCACTCGATTGTGTTTAAGATTAAAATTAGTAATATATATTGCCAATGTTTTGAAAAGAATACTCCAACCCAATACAAGGTAACTAGATGTGCCAGATCACTATAAGTTATGGCTTATGAAGTCATAGTAGAGCTATGGTGGAGATTTGTTGGGCTCCTTAGAGAGAGTACATATATATTATGTTGGAAGTGCTCACAAATAAATTATTTTTGTCTATGTTGCTAAAGTAAGATGTGTGTTTAAGTATTTTTATTTACATGAATTTTAATTTTATAACTAAATTACAATCTTTTTTCACTTATTTCTTATTGTAGATTCCTTAATTAATGTTAGTTTTTAGTGCTGATGATGAGGACTTTTATAGTCTATTATACACACTTTTAATTAGTTTATCATAATTAGAGTTATGAGGAAAAATATGGGCACAAATATTTATAAGAAAAAGTAAGAGCTAAACTTGAACATAATAAGATTCAAGTAGGCTAACGCCTTTCAATGAAAGTATGAAGTAACTTTTCGTTATTGTATGAAAGTCAAAAAACAATTTGCTTAGGTTAATAATAATGAAATAAATTGGTGTATAAATTAATATTTTGATCAATCTTATTTAAATTTTCATACATGGGGAGGAGAAGGACATAAAAAGACGGGCTAGGAGGTAATTATGGCGCAACATTCATTCATTAAGATTAGAGATAAAGTAGACAAGGTGAAAAGATGCAGAAAGCGGTAGAAGAGAGAAAAAGATAGGGGTTGCAAACCAATAATTTGCAATTATATATACAGATAAAAAGACCAAAAAGGTAGGGATATTAAATTATCTCTTACAATTTCACATAAAAATGAGGCTAAACTAATATACTATAGAATATGGAGGCAAAAGATCAATAAGTGTTTTATCAAGGATTTATAGATCCATAAAAGATGCACAAATTTATGGATTCATTAGGTTTTAATATGCTCCATTTAATAAATGAGGAGAACATATCTTCATTTAAATTTAGAATGTTAAGATTAGTCAAAAACTCCAAAGATATAGAGATAGGAGTGGCAATGAAAGCACAATATGACTTTAATAATTTAATACAATCACTTTATGATTAAAAGGTAAGGAAAGAAATATATCACTTCATTAAATGCATGAGTTCTTCAATAGTCAAAGATAGTAATTTTTATTTTTATTTTTATTTTAGTATTACACTTACTATTTTCATTTCTTGATAAAGGATTAAATTTGATGCTACATAAGGACTTATTGAGTAGTCATCATAATTTTAAATGAATTATTTGATCAACATTATAGAACAATATTCTCTATGTTAAATAAGGCAAAGAGGGTGCACACCTTCAAGTGGCCTTCAATATTAATATATGCTATCAGAGAGGAAAAAAAGTTTCCTGAGTTCTAGAAATATACATACATTATATATTTTTAAATGAATTGGAATAAAATATGATGAATAATATATCAGATGTCATTCTTTATATAATTCATGATGTTATATGAATAACCTTTCATGCACTTTAGCATAAATCATTTATGAAACTATTAGTTTTTTTATAAGAGATCCCTAGGTTTCATAAAATATTAGGATATATAATTTGATAAAAGAAACACACACAAAATTTTGCTACAACTACTTAAAAAGTGGATGAGGAGCAGCACATATGAAGTTTCTAGGTCTTCCATATGGTAAGTCATTTTAAAATTAAAAAATATATATAAATAATTTATTATCACATATAATCTAATGATTATATTTTTTAAAAAAGGATTACAGAGTATGTAATACAACATATAAACTGCCTAGTTTTAAATAAAGGGTAGTAACACTTGATCATATACAATTCTATAAAAGTTATTTAAATATAAAAATATATAATAATAATAATATAGATTCATATGTCTATTCAACCTTTATTCAAATTTAAATATTATTATTTCAATTCATTAGTGTTAAAAATTATTATAATTTTTTATAATTTGAATGACTAATTTGATTCAATTATATTGTGTTATAGCTAGTGGATTAAACTCGTACTTGTCATTATTATTATGGTTTCTCTCTAATGGCACAAAATTGTTGAATCATTGTCTATTAAGATATACTTATTAATTTGAACTTTGTAACATTATAAATATCAGTTTAAGTTTTGTTGTATCTATTTTATAATATATTATTTCATAGTAGTTATGATACCTCTTATATTAATCAGTGTAGAGCAGTAAGCAACAACAATAATAATTCTTTAGAATAACATAATCCAACAACTTCTTTTAAATAAAAAGTATCAGTATTAAGCAACAGCCGGTCTCCAAAAAACCAAATCAAATTAGCATCAATAAGCTTCTCTATAGCAAATCTCTCAAGTGATCAAATCTAAACTAGTGATCAGTTTCAAAGAAGAGGATCATAATAGAACAAGCTTATAAATATTTCATGCATCACTAAGTAAACATTATATTTTAGAAAAAATGAAAAAGGTATAAATTTTGACTCCTTTGGGCACCATCATGGCTCCAATTTTCAAAAATACCGCAATTCTCTGGTAGAAATATGTAAGCTAAAAGTTAATTAAAGCAAAATTCAGTGAATGATTCACATAGAGTAGTGATCATCACAGTAAAACTGCTTATAATATCAGAATCTTAACAATTCCTCTCAAACAACATTAAGTTACAGTTGGTTTTTAAAAACTAAAGTAAATCAGCTAGAGTAAATATTTGTCCATCATAAAATCTCATATGCATTCCTATCTAGTGAACATTTTCAATAAAATAACATCAAAACAATTGAACTCATAACATAATTCCTATAGTAATAAATAAGCCAAGCATGCATTCCAGAAGTCACTATGATGAAACTATGTTCAATGGATGATTCTGGTATGGGGAGCATCCATACAATCCCCATGTAATAAAAACTTTAGATTAGAATAAAAAACAGAACCAACATAAGCCTCTCCAGTATTTGCTCCCAGCTTACCAAGATATTCAACTAGTCCATTAGCTTCCCTGTATATAAGGGACCAATGGATATTAAAATTAGGCAACATCAATTTAATTTTTTTCCATAGTAAAATAATAGTTCCATGACAACTGATTTTCCCCTTAAGAACTTGAAATAGAAAATTGTCATCCATCTCAATGATTATGTTGTAGATATTGAGATTTTCTTGCAATCAACATACCATAGTAAACAACAGTGAATTCACCAAAAAAGGGCTGAAATGTGATCATAAGGAGCATATAATGACAGTAAACAAACCTCCAAATGATCTCTTAGAGTACCACTAGCACCATCATTATATTTTTTATGACTACCATCCACATTAACTTTTGGTAAGGCCAAATGGACTTTTACCATTTCATTAAAATGCAATTATTTTTTATAATAACACCGTTTATAGACCCAAGTGGATAAATATTTGTCTGTCTAGCCAAAATAGCTGTATTATTATAATCAACCACCTTTTGAATAAATAACTTTATATGAATCAATATTCTATCAACCGGGAAGGCCAAATTAAGATGCTTCCTCTTATTTCTTTCCAACCACAAAACCAACAAACTATATAAGGAATCAATTGTAGTATACTATTACTAATATCTTTATTAGGATGCCAATAATTTTCTCACTG